AGAAATACTAATGGTATTATTGGATTTCAGTTAGTTACATAATCTGAATCTTGTGATTAATGTATGCCTTTTTGGCAATCCATTTCTTTAAGTATTACTTGCAATTATTAAGTTCCTTCATTTCCATTTTCTAAAAAAGTTAATATGTAAGAATTTATTAGTTTTATCATCAGTAGGTACATGGAAAATTTAATATTTTTTCAATTTTGTTAAAGTTTTGAAGTGGCAGGATAAAAAAATTAACAACTTTATTTAAGTAGAAAAACATTCATCCTTTGTAACTATACAGTTGAATAATTTTTAATAAATCCATTCAGCTGTACCATTATCACAGCAATCTAATTTTAGAACTCTATCATCATCACAAAAAGTTGCCTTTGTATCTATCGCAATCAATTTCTGTTTTTAATATCAGCCCCAGGAAACTTCAAATCTGTTCTCTATCTATATAAATTTGCCTCGCCTAATCTTTCTTATAACTATTACCATAGACAATGTTGCCTTTTTCTCTTGTTTCTTTCACTTAGCACAATATTTTTGATAATAATCTGTATTGTTTTATGTAGTTTATTTCTTTTTATCACCAAATAGTTTTTCATTATACAGAAATATCAGTGTGTTTCCATGAACAAATTGATGGACATCTGAATTGTTATTGGTCTGTTACTTTTATAAAAAATGTTATTATGAACTTTTGCTTACATGTCATTGGGTAGACATATATTTTTCTTCCTCTTGGGTACACCCTTGACATGAAATTCCTGAATCATATGATAAATAACGTTTAACTGTTTAAAAGCTGTCAAAGTTTTTTCCAAAGTTATATTATAGGAGGACAGCAGTTCCTCCACATCTTTGTTAACACTTGTTATCGTCAGATTTTTAAAATGTAGATATGCTAGTGGGTATGTAATGGTATAGAATTTGGGATTTTACTAATTGCTTAATAATGTTGAGCATCTTTTCACATTTTATTATGTATTCACACATAATTATATTAGCTATTTATTTGGGTAAAATCTTCCTCTAATTTTAAATTTATTTATCTTCTTTTTAATGAGTTTCAGGAGGTTTTTTTTTAATATGTCTGTATAACAAGTCTTTCATGAGATAATTTTTCCAACCATTTGCTCATGAGTGTCTTCACTTTTTATTTTGTTAATGGTGTCTTTTGGAGAAAAAATGTTTTAAAAATTCAGAAGTCTAATTTATTATTTTTAATGAGTTATGCTTTAGTGTCTTAACTGAAAAAGTATTTTCCTAATCTAAGGCTACAAGTACTTCTCCAATGTTTACTTTTCAAAGTTTTACAGCTTTAGTACTTAAATATATAATAATACATTTTAATACATTTTCTTTATGGTTTGAAGAGTGTAAGTTCATATTTCTACATACAGATATCCATTATTTTTTAGCAGCATTTGTTAAAAAGAGGATGCTTTCTTTATTAAACTAGTCTTGACACCTTTAAGCAGCCCATTGACCTCAAAATTAAGAGTTTTTTTCTGGACTCTCTAAATTGTTACATGATATAAATGCATAAATATTCACAACTAATGCCACAATGTCTCCTTACTGTAACAATATAGTACCTTTAGGAATCAGGTAATAAAAGGCACTCAACTTTATTTACTTTCAAAACCATTTTGACGCAGCTAGGTCTTTGCATGTCTGTGTAAAGTTTAAAATCAATCGTGAATTTTTACAAAATTTCTTGACATTTTGTGTTGAATCTCTGTATCAATTTAGGGAGAAGTCTTATTTAAGTAACGTTGCATCTTTTAATGCATGAACTTGCTGTATCTCTCCACTTATATATTTTTTCTTAAATTTCTTTTAGTAATATTTTTATACTTTTTAATGTATAGCTTTTATAATACTTGTTCAAATGTATTTATAAGTATTTAAAGCTATTGTAAATGAATTGCATTGTTACTATTTTCTGACTTTTTGATGCTAACGTATAGAAATAGCATGGATTTTGTGTTTTGCAAACTTTCTAAATTTATTTACTAGCTGTAGTAGTTTTTCTGTAGAATCCTCAGGATTTTCTGTGCACAGAATCATGTAATCTGCCAGCAAAGACAGTTGAATTTGTTCCTTTTAAATCTGTATTCTTAGGCATTTAGTCTTTCAGCATTAAATGTGATGTTAGCTGTAGTTTTTTCCTTAATGCATTTAGCTAGTTTAGGGACATTACCTCTGTCCCAAGTTTGTTGGGGATTGTTATCATAGATCAGGCGTCCCCAAACTTTGTACACAGGTGGCCAGTTCACTGTCCCTCAGACCGTTGGAGGGTCAATCTCTTTCCTTTGTTTGTTTGTTTTTTTTTTAAATTGCATTTTAGGTTTTGGGGTATATGTGAAGAATATGCCAGATTGTTGCATAGCTACACACATGGCAGTGTGATTTGCTGCCTTCCTCCCCATCACCTATATCTGACATTTCTCCCCATGCTATCTCTCCCCAACTCCCCATCCCCCACTGTCCCTCCCCTATTTCCCTCGGACAAGCTCCAATGTGTGATGCTCCCCTCCCTGCGTCCATGTGTTCTCATTGTTCCACATCCGTCTATGAGTGAGAACATGCAGTGTTTGGTTTTCTGTTCTTGTGTCAGTTTGCTGAGAATGATGGTTTTCAGGTTCATCCAAGTCCCTACAAAGGACATGAACTCATCATTTTTTATGACTGCATAGTATTCCATGGTGTATATGTGCCACATTTTCCCTGTCCAGTCTATCATCAATGGGCATTTGGGTTGGTTCCAAGTCTTTGCTGTTGTAAGTAGTGCTGCAATGAACATTCATGTGCATGTGTTCTTATAGTAGAACGATTTATAATCCTTTGTATATATAACCAGCAATGGGATTGCTGGGTCAAAACAAAATTCTTCATGCTAGTCTGTGATCTCTATTTCCTCTCCCTCCCACAACCACAACCCTGGGCAACTAACTAATCTGTCATTTACTATGCATTGTTTTCTGTTTCCTAGACTTTTATAAAAATAGAGACACAGTATGCCTTCTTTCTTTTCTTTTCTTTAAAGAGAGAAAGAAAAAAAGAATAATAAGAAAAAGAATAAAGAAGAGGAATAGGGAGAGAGAACGGGGGTGTTGCTTTATTGCCCAGGCTAGAATGCAGTCTAAAAATGGGTATGCCTATAATTGTGCTTAATAATGGAGACATGAAAAAAATGAGGGAAGAAAATAACAAACAAGGAGCCAACCAATATTTCATTTAAACCTGTAAGTAGATATGATGTGGTACTGAGAAGAGTGTATATTTTGTGTATTTAAAGTGGAGAGTTCTATAAATGTTAATTAGGTTTACTTGTTCCAGATCTGAGTTCAAGTCCTGGATATCACTGTTAATTTTCTGTCTCATTGATCTGTCTAATATTAATGTTGAAGTCTCCCACTATTATTGTGTGGGAGTCTAAGTCTCTTTATCAGTCTTGTATGTCTGGGTATTCCTGTATTGGGTGTGTATATATTTAGGATCTTTAGCTCTTGTTGTTGCATTGATCCTTTTATCATTATATAATGTCCTTCTTTGCTTCTTTTGATCTTTGTTGCTATGACGACTATTTTATCAGAGGCAAAAATTGTAACTTCTCCTTTTTATTTATTTATTTTTGCTCTCCGTTTGGTTGGTAAATCTTTCTCCATCCCTTTGTTTTGAGTCTTTGTGTATCCTTGAATGTGAGATGGGTCTGGATGCAGCATAACGATGGGTTTTAGTTTTTTATCCAAATTGCCTGTCTGTCTTTGGATTGGGGGATTTAGTCAATTTAAATTTAGAATTAATAATGATATATGTGAGTTTAATACTGCCATTTAATATTAGCTGGCTATTTTGCCCATTAGTTGATGTAAATTCTTCATTATATTGATGCTCATTACTTTTTGGTATTTTTTAGAAAGGCTGATACTGTTTGTTCCTTTCTATGTGTAGTGGTTCTTTCAGAAGCTCTTGTAAAGTAGGCCTGGTGGTGATGAAATCTCTGAGTGCTTGCTTGTTCACAAAAAACTTTATTTTTCCTTCACTTATGAAGTTTAGTTTGGCTGGATGTGAAATTCTTGGTTGAAAGTTCTTTCCTTTAAGGATGTTGAATATTGGTTCCCACTCTCTTCTGGCTTGTAGGGTTTCTGCTGAGAGATCTGCTGTAAGTCTAATAGGCTTCCCTTTGTGGGTAACCTGACCTTTCTCTCTGGCTGCCCTTTATATTTTCTCCTTCATTTCAACCCTGGTGAATCTGACGATTATGTACCTTGGAGTTGCTCTTCTTGAGGAATATCTTTGTGGTGTTCTCTGTATTACCTGGAGTTGAATATTATCCTGCCTTACTAGGTTGGGAAAATTTTCCTGAATAATATACTGAAGCTTATTTTCCAGTTTGGATTCATTCTCTTTGTCACATTCAGGTACACCTATTAAGCGTAGATTAGGTCTTTTCACATAGTACCATATTTCTTGGAGACTTTGCTCATTCCTTTTTATCCTTTTTCTCTAATCTTGTCTTCTCGTTTTATTTCATTGAGTTGGTCTTCGACCTCTGATATCCTTTCTTCTGCTTGATCAATTCGGCTGTTAAAACTCGTGCATACTTCACGTAGTTCTCGTATTGTGTTTTTCAGCTCCATCAATTCACTTATTTTTCTCTCTAAATTGTGTATTCTTGTTAACATTTCGTCAAACCTTTTTCCAAAGTTCTTAGTTTCTTTGGATTGGGTTAGAACAAGTTCTTTTAATTCACAGAAGTTTCTCATTATCCACATTTTGAAGCCTGCTTCTGTAATTGGAACACACTCATTCTCCATCAAGCCTTGTTTCGTTGCTGATGAGGAACTGTGATTCCCCTGCTGAGGGAGAGGCATTCTGATCTCGGGTATTCTCAGCCTTTTTTTGGCTGTTTTCTTCCCTTTGTTGTAGATTTGTCTGTCTGTGGTCTTTATAATTACCGTCTTTGTAATTGGGTTTCTGAGTGGATGTCCAATTTATTAATTCTCAGCGCTGAAATCTGAGCAACCCACTGCACTGACTAAATCAGTGGCGTTAAGATTGATGGTGCTTTTCTGACTCTGCACCAACAACCGACGCTCCGAGGCGCCGGCAAAACCGCCTCGCCGGTCATAAGAGTCACACTGGCGACCTGTGGGGCTCCTCCGCTGGGAATCTCCTGGTGCGTGAGCAACAAGAATTCATGTGAAAGTGTGGCGTCCTCTCGTTCTCTGTGCTTTCACTGGGAGCTACAATCCTGAGCTGCTAGTGATTAGCCATCTTGGATCTCTCCAGTATGCCTTATTCTTAGTGTATATTCTGAAGATAATTTTTGAGACTCATGTTGTGTGCACAAATAGTTCCTTTTTGTTTGGCTAAGAAATATTCAGTTGTACTTTTATAGTAGACTTTGTGTACCTGTTGATGGATATAAGACTTGTTTTAAATTTTTAGCTACTGCAAATAAAGCTGCTTGAATGTACAAGTGAAGTTCATTGGGCATAGGCTTTTATTTAACTAAGAAAAGTATTAGGATCACATTACATGCTTCTATCAAAACATCTCATGTACCCATAAACATTCATTTACCTACAATGTACCCACAAAAATTATTTTAAAAATTTAAAAAAGAAAAAGTAAGTATTAAGAGTGGAATGACTCAATCACATGGTATATGCATATTTACCTTTTTAAGAAATTGACAGTATGTTGGTTGATATAGTGTAAAATTTTACATTCTTGCCAGCAGTATGAGTTTCAATTAAATCACATCCTCATCCACACTTGGTATAGTCAGTTTAATATTAGTTATTTCAATTGATATGCAGAAGTATTTCAATGTGGATATAATTTCTCCAGTGACTACTGATATGAAACATCTTTTCATGCAACTATTTGGCACCACATTATCTTTTCATGCAACTATTTGGCATCCAATTTTTTCTGTAAAGAATTATCTGTTCAAATACTTTGCCCAGGTTTTATTGAGATATTTGTTTTCTACTACATTATGAAATGTTTTTATATATTATGGATAAGTCCTTTATCAGATATTTGTTTAGCAAATATTTTCTCCCTCAACAGTGACTTTTTAAGAAGAATAATAAATTTTAATTTTGATGAAATTCAGTTTTTCAGTTGATTCAATTTTACAGATTGAAACTTTTGTGTTTTATGTAAAACATTTTGTGTAACCCAAGTCCTCAAAAGTTTGATCTTTTCTTCTAGAGTTTTATGTATTATATTTAGGCCATTTTGAGTTAATTTTTGTGGATGGTATAAAATACTGATCAAAGTTTTGACCTGTTTTTGCCTTTTGTTGAAATGGCTATCTCTTTATGTACAAGAATTAATTTTCCTTTTGTCAACATCACTTACACGTATATGTGTGAATCTATTTCTGCACCATTAATTCTGTCTGGTCAGTTAATTTATCTGTCCTTATGTAAATACTGTCATGATTACTATAGGTTTATAATGTGTTAAATCCGATAGTGTTAGCTTTTCATTTTTTAAATTTTCATGTCCTTTAGCTATGCTGTGCTTTGGTATTTTCATGCAAATTTTGGAAATAGCTTGCCAATTTCTAAAAAGCTAATGCTTCTGGAGCTTTCCTTGTCACTCTACTGAATGTATATATCAACATGGGATAATTAATAATTTAATATTAAATCCTTAATCTCATGAAAAAGATAATAGCTCTTTATTCAGGCCCTTTCTAAATATCTCTCAGCTATGTTTTCCAACTTTAAGTGTCAAGGCCTTAATCTTCTTTTGTTTTCATAGGTTTGGGTTTTACATTTAAGTCGTTACCCATTTTGAGTTAATTTTTGTATATGATATAGGGAAAGGGTCAAGTTTCAGTTTTCCACATATGGCTAGCCAATTATCCCAGCACCATTTATTAAATAGGGAATCCTTTCCCTCTTGCTTATTTTTGTCAGTTTTGTTGAAGACCAGAGTTATAGGTGTGTCGTCTTATTTCTGAGTATCTTATTGTAGGTGTGTCTTATTTCTGAGTTCGCTATTCTGTTCCACTGGTCTTTGTGTTTGTTCTTGTATCAGTACCATGCTGTCTTGGTTACTGTAGCCCTGTGGTATAGTTTGAAGTTGGCTAGCATGATTTCTCCAGCTTTGTTTTTTCTTTTTTTGTTTTGTTTTGTTTGTTTTTTTTCCTTAGGATTGCCTTAGTTTTTCAGGTTACTTTTTTGTTCCACATGAATTTTTAAATACTTTTCTCTGGTTCTGTGAAGAATGTGTATGATAGTTTAATGGAAATAGCATTGAATATGTAAATTGCTTTGGGCAGTATGGCCATTTTAACAAAATTTATTTTTTCTACCCTCAAGCATGGAAAGCTTTTGCATTTGTTTGTGTCATCCTTGATTTATTTGAGCACTGGTTTGTAGTTCTTCCTTCAGACATATTTCACCTCCGTTGTTAGCTTTATTCCTAGATATTTTATTGCTTTTGTGGAAATCTTAAATGAGAGTTTATTTGTGATTTGTTTCTCAGCTTGCCTGTTGTTGGTGTATGGGAATGCTATTGATTTTTGCACATTGATTTTGTATGCTGATACCTTGATGACGTTGCTTATTAGCTTAAGAAGCTTTGGAGATGGGACTATGGGGTTTTCTAGATAGAAAATCATGTCATCTGCAAAGAGGGATAGTTTGACTTCCTCTCTTCCTATTTGAATGCCCCTTATTTCTTTATCTTGCTTGATTCCAATTCTATGTTGAATAGGAGTGGTGAGATAGGACATCCTTGTCTTGTGCCAGTTTTCAAGGGGAACACTTCCAGCCTTTGCCCACTCAGTATGATGTTGGCTGTGGGTTTGTCATAGATGGCTCTTATTATTTTGAGGTATGTTCCTTCAATAGCTAGTTTCTTGATAGTTTTTTAACATGAAGAAATGTTGAATTTTATCAAAAGCCTTTTCTGTGCCTATTGAAATAATCATGTGGGTTTTGTATTTAGTTCTGTTTATGTGATGAATCACATTTGTTGATTTGCATAGGTTGAATCAAACTTACATCCTAAGTATGAAACTGGCTTGATCATGACGAATAAGCTTTTCTATGTGCTGCTGTATTCTGTTTGCCAGTATTTTGTTAAGGATTTTTGTATCGGTGATCGTCAAGGATATTGACCTAAAGTTTCCTTTTTTTTTCTTGTATCTCTGCCAGTTTTTGGTATCAGGATGATTCTGGCCTCACGGAATGAGTTAGGAAGGAGTCTTCTTTTCAATTATTTAGAATGGTTTCAGTAGGAATGGCACCAGCTCTTCTTTGTACATCTGGTAGAATTCAGGTGTGAATCCATCTGTAGACCTGGAGTTTTCTCTATGGAGAAGTTTTTAAGTGAAATTCAGCTCTTTTACACACCCCCCCCCACACACACACCCACACACACACCCACACACCATCATTGAAATCATTAAGCTATCTTAAGGGTAAAAGACTTGATGCTTTCTACCTAAAATCAGGAACAACACAAGGATTCCTGTTCTTACCGCATTTATTAATAGTTGGAGAAGAAGCTCTGGCCAGGGCAAGTAGGTGAAAAAATTTTTTAAAGGTATGAAATTGGAAAGAAGAAGTAAAACTGTCGCTACTTGTCTATATCATAATGATGCATATAAAAAATCAAAAGGAATCCACAAAAAGTCTACTGAAACTAATAAACAATTTCACCAATGTTGCAGGATATAAGATGAATATATAAATATGAATTGTGGTTCTATACTCTAGCAATGAGCAATCCAAAAATGAAATTACTGAATAGAATTATATTTATAATAACATTAAAAAGAATAAAATACTTAGGGAAAATTTAACAGAATTACTACAAAATTTTCATTTAGAAAGCCACAAAACAGTCTTGTAAGAACTTAAAGAAAACCTAAATAAATGAAAACACATGGCATGGTCATTAATCAGAAGACTTAATATTGTTAAAATAACACTCCTATATTAGTCTGTTCTCATATTGCTATAAATAACTACCCAAGACTTGGTAATTTATAAAGAAAAGGCAATTAATTTGCTCACAGTTCTGTGGGCTATACAGAAAGCATGGCTGGGGAGGCCTCAAGAAACTTACAATCATGGGAGAAGGCAAAAGGGAAGCTGGCACATCCTACATTGCTTGATCAGGAGGCAGAGAGGGGTGAGGGGAGTTACTACCCGCCTTTGAGCAACCAGATCTTGTGAGAACTCTATCTTTAGACAGCACTAGGGAGACAGTGCTAAACCATTAGAAATCACCCCATGATCCAATCACCTCCTACCAGACCCCACCTCAAACACTCAGGATTACGATTCAACATGAGATTTGAGTGGAGGCGTAAAGCCAAACCATATTATTCCACCCCAGACCCCTCCTAAATCTCACATCCTTCTCCCATTTAAAAACACAGTCATGCCTTCTCAACAGTCCTCCAAGTCTTAACTCATTCCAGCATGAATTCAAAATTCTAAGTCTAAATCTCATCTGAGACAAGTTAAGTCCCTTCCACCTATGAGCCTGTAAAATCAGAAAGAAGTTAGTTGCTTCCAAGATACAATGGGGATATAAGAATTGGGTAAATGCTCCAGTTCCAAAAGAAAAAATATTGGCCAGAACAAATTAGCTACATACCCCCTCCATGTCCAAAACCCAACAGGGCAGTCAATAAATCTTAAAGCTCTAAAATAATTTATTTCAACTCCATGTCTCATATCCAGGCCACACTGACGCAAGGAGTCGGATCTTAAGTATTTGGCCAGCTCTGCCCCATGACTGTTTTCACAGGCTGGCACTGAGTGTCTATGACTTTTCCAAGCACACAGAGCAAGCTGTTAGTGGATCTACCATTCTGGAGTCTGGAGGACTGTGACCCTCTTTTCACAACTTCACTAGACAGTGTCCCTAGTTGGGTCTCTGTGTGGGGGCTCCAACCACACATTTCCCCTTTGCACTGCCCTAGTAGAAGTTCTCCGTGAGGGCTTGGCCCCTGCAGCGGACTTCTGCCAGGATATCCAGGCATTTACACACATTTTCTGAAATCTAGATAGAAGCTCTCAAACCTCAGCTCTTGTTCTCTGCATACCTGTAGGCTTAACACCATGTGGAGGCTGCCAAGGCTTCCACCTTCTCGAGTAGTGACCTGAGACATATCTGGGGACCTTTTAGCCA